CAGTGAACCCATGTTGGTTGCCCCTGAGCATTACCTCCCCTCCTGGGCCCTTGCAGATGTGCTCCTTGATAATTTTCTTGAAGGTCTTCCCAGGGACCGAGGTAAGACTCACTGGTCTATAATTTCTGGGGTCCTCCTTTTCCCCTTCTTGTAAATGGGGACCACATGTGGCCCTTTTCCAATCCTCTGGTACCTGGCCACAGCTCCTTGAGTGCTTATACAGCCATGCCAGGGCCCCCACTATGACCCCCACCAATTCCCTCAGCACACTTTGGTGAAGAGCGTCTAGACCTAATGATTTAAACATGTCCAGCCCCTCTAAAAGTTCCCTAACTAGGTCATCCCTGACCCTAGGCATGGCAGTGCCTCCCCTGGGTCCATCCATAATCCTAGTGGGGAAATGTCCTGGTTCCTGTTCAGGAATATGGAGGCAAAGAATTCATTAAAGAGGTCAGCTTTTTTGTTTGCTGCAATCACCAGAATCTCATATTTACTTATCTCATATTTACTTAAATATGAGATGACTCCCCAATAATTAGTTTCTATATATGAAAAATATATATACATTTATCATAATTTTTCAGGTCCGGAATGAAATTATTGGAGGTTTGCCTTGAATTTGCCCAATTCCCACTGAGAGAGTAGGGAAAATAAACCAGGGGTGGGAGAAGAGGAGAGGGTGTGATAAATCCCTTCCTGCACTCCTCACCATCAGATCCTGCTCTTGCTGAGCACATGGAAGTGAGGAGCAAAATTGAAAACAGTGACCTTAAAAACATATTGGGGAATTATTAATAGGTACGCATAGATTTAGTTAATCCATAGTTGATGCACTTTACCTCTTTTGAAAATGCTGCAAGTTTTAGCACAGCTACTCCATAAACACACTTTTAAACAGCCGTTTAATGAATGCCCCACCCCCTAGCCATTATTTGGGACCAGAAGTCCCACTCCTAACCCCTGACCTTTTCAATCAGAAGTCCATCCCCTTGCCCTCCAGAAGTACTTCTTTTTTTTGGGGGGGGGGGGGGGTTGCCATCTTGGAACCAGAAGAAAACTGCATGTGGTTGCAGAGAGCAGAGAAGGCAGCCACCTCCATCGCATGGGGCTTCCCCAGCGCGCAAGTGCTAGCAGCTGCACATGACGTGGGGGGCCCATCGTGATAGAGGCAGACTGGCCTATCTCTGCTCCTTACTGCCACATGCAGCTCCCTGAACTGGCTGGAGCCATATCTTGCCTGGTGACAGCAACTGCGTGGACCATGAGCACCCTGAGGGCCCACCACCTGTAGCTGCTATCACTGGCAATGGAGGCTGTGTGCCATGGGCAGCAGGACCATCTCCATGCCTACCCCCTCACCCTCTCTTACACCTCAGAAACCCTGCATACCTGCACCTTGCCCACCCACGCTCTGCACTTCTGCCTGCCCCAGTCCCACACTCCTTGCTCCTGTGCCAGGTGCAGCCTCCCCACCCCCACACACCCTGGCTGCCTTTTCCCTACATGCTGCCTGGAGAGAGTGCTACAATAGAGACAGAAGGAGGAGCTGCTGGAGGCCAGGGAAGATGAGCAGGTCCCCTGATGGCTGCAGCAGTGGCAGCAGCAGCCCCTCCTGGAAGCTGTGCGTGCTTGCCCATCTGGGGCCCTCCCATGCACAAGAGTGGGAATGAGACATGCAGGCTGGGCAGGATATAATTAATTGGTGGGTGCCCATGGGCCAGATGAAATTGCCTGGTGGGCCAGATTCAGCCCGCAGGCTGTATTTTGCCCACCACTGTTATAGAGAGTACATTTGATCTTAGCCCACAAGAGGCTGAGAAGTGATACATGATATTAGTCCAGAGCCAAAAGGCCCATGATTTAACATATGTAACCGGGTGTATGGCTCAGGGGTGGGAGCCCAGCTGCTGGCAGTTAATGTGTAATAGCTGGCCTGCTCAGGGGCATTAGGCCAGCTGACAAGGTTGGTTGCCTAGCCCCAGAGGAAGTTAAAAGCTCCCAGGAAGGGGAGCTGAGGGGAGAGAGAAGGCTGTGGTGATGAAGAGGTAGCACAGAACTGGGGTTGCCCTCTCCAGGTCCAAGGAAGAACTGCAGGTTTTGAGTTAACCCTTTGTTGTTTGTATATTTGATAGTTTTATTATTCATTGTTTCCTGTGGGGACAAGTTTACCCTGGGGTAAATAAAAGATGAGTGACAACCCGCTACACCATATAGTTAATTGGGGTGGACCTCCCACCCCCCAGAGTCTACAGCATTTCAATCCATTGTGACCCCGCAGTTATTCCACCCCACCCCACAAAGGTTCCACATGCTAATTAGCCCCCACCCATGATTGGAGCACTGTGTTTTTGTCATAAGTCATGGGATCTTCCAAAAAAGTTATATGCAGATAAGGTCCAGTTTCACTTCATGGAGCACTAATCATATATGCCAGGCTGAGAGAGGAGGCAGACACAGGGATTCTGGATGAACTGTTTGAGGTCCTGTTTTGTGATGTTTGCCAGACATTTAAGGCTGATGAAGAAGCAGGAATCATTGGAAATGGGAAAGAAAGGTATAGATAGTTTAGCTCAATGGGCACTAGCCTAAATTCCCATCAGCTTGGGATTAAATGCAGTGTTGGCTGCATTTAATCAACTTCATAGGTGGTTTCCATTACTGAGCACCTGCTGCTTTCGGCAGCAGTTTAATGATAGACAATACATTTAATTAAGGTTTTCTTGTATGCGAATGTAAGATGAGGGCCTTTTACACCATGCTGATTGAGGGCAAAAAAACTTACTTTGTAGTTGAGTAAATAATTGAATCATAGAAAATCAGGATTGCGAGGGACTGCAGGAGGTCATCTAGTCCAACCCACTGCTGAAAGCAGGACCATCTCCTACTAGATCAATCCAGCCAGGGATTTGTCAAGGCGCATCTTAAACCCTCCAAAGATGGAGATTTCACCACCTCTCTTGGTAATGTTTACAATGCTTCACCACCCTCCTAGTGACAGATTTTATCCTAATATCCAACTTATACTTCCCTTGTTGCAACTTGAGGCCATTGCTCCTTGTTCTGTCATCTGCCACCACTGAAAACAGTCTAGCTCCAACCTCTTTGTAATTATCCTTCAGGTAGTTGTTTCAAGTCCAAAAGTCCAGACTAAGAGTATTAGGAAAACCTAAGTATCACTTGAATTAATTCTTGTATGAGGTATTCTATGCACGAGTATTATAGTTTCTATCCATTAAATGACCACATTTTTGTGAACATGCTTGGTAAGTTCATTTTCTTCCCTTTCTCTGGAATATTTCTTTTGAAATCATGTTAAAAGTAAAAGAGGCAATAACCAAAGAAGTTCCTTTTTTTGTTTCTCCTTTTTTTGAGAATATATTTTGTCATTTTCCCAGCTCTCTTCCATTTTTAATTTTTTAAGGATTAATTTCTCATATGTTTAATAGAAGGCAGATTCCTTTTTATCTGTAATTAAATCCATAAGTTGTTATTCTCTGAAGGTCCTTGTGGATTGTGACTTGATTGTTACAAAAATGAATGACTTGAAGAGGTTCCTAATATCAGTTTAGTGTAAGAATCTAATTCATTATTCATTAATTTGGTATTCATTGTAATAATACTAATCATAATAAACTCATTGAGTAGGCGTGAGGCTGTTGTGTATATTTCCATAGAAACTCTGTTTGTTAACCATCTTTAGCAAAACACCCTTTAAAAATTCCATTCTTGCAATAGTGAATCTTCTTATTTCTTTTTGTAATTATATGCTAGGGCTTTGCGATGCTTTGGGTGCCGATTCAATTCGGATGACATTCAGCCCGATTCGGCAGCCAAATCTGAATCAAATCAGAAGACAGATAAAAAGGTCTGAATCAATTCAAAGCTCTCCAAATCAATTTGCAAAAGATTAGGAGAACTTCGGATGTTCGAGCAGTCCCCGCTTGCTGCCACAGGGAGCTCCATGCTGGTAAGTGGGGAGGGGGATAGAGTAGGGATGGAGTGGGGGGGGAACATGGGGGGACCCCTGTCAGGCCCCATCCCCTGCCTGCTCCACCAGTGCCTCTGAGCACCCCCTGACCCCCACCCACTCTCCTAACTGCCCCCATGGCTGCCCCACCCAGCCCCAGCTCCTGGCTCTTCAAAAAAAAAAAAGCAGCAAAAGCTCCACATTCACCGGCTGCTGCAGCAGCCTCGAGGCTTCTGGGGGCTCGTAGCAGAGCCCCACACACAGTGCGGGGCAGTGGGGAGCACCCCCCTGCCTGGCAGGAGTCGATGAATGTGAAGCTTTCTTTTTTTTTTTATTTTAAAAGATGCTGGGGTCAGGCGGGAAAGCCGGGGGGGGAGCTGGGAGAGTGGGCAGGAGATGGGGGCTTGTGGCAGAGCCCCCCATGCAGCATGGGGCAGTGGGGTACAGCAGGGATTGCCCCACCCACCTGGCAACAGCTGTTGAGTTGGGGCTTTTTCCTCTTTAGAGAGCTGGGACACTGGGGCTGGGAGAGTGGGCGAGGGATGGGGGCTCATGATAGAGCCCTCCCAAGGAGTGCAGGACAGTAGGGGGAAGTGGGGATTGCATCCCCCTGCCTGGCAGCAACTGGTGAGTGCGGGGTGTTTTTTTTAAAGAGCTGGGAACTGGGGCTGGGCAGGGCAGCCATTGACAGGGCTTGCAGAGTGGGTGGGTGATGGGGCCTTTGATTTGGCAATTCAGCTGATTTGGCGATGGTCGAATCTCTGAATCAGATTTGGTTGAATCAATTTGGGACAGTGATTCGAATCACCAAGTCAAATCACTGTCCCCCAAATGAGCCAAATCCAAATTCAAAGCAAATACTAGCCACTTCGCACAGGCCTATTATATGCCTGTATTTTATATATAGTGAAGATCTTCAGGTGTATAGACCATACTAAAAATAAAATTATTCTATATTAGGTCATCTTATTTTGCTTGTTTTTTTTCTGGATTTATGGGGCTAGATTTCCAGCTCGTATGAATCAGTATGGCTCCAGGGAGTTTAGACCAGGGACAGGCAATTATTTCAGCTTGAGGGCCGCTTAATAAGTTTGTTGAGCTGTTGAGGGCCACAAGGGTAGCTCCGCCCCTTGACAGGTGCCCTGCCCACAGTTACTATCTTGGGACCAGAAGTTCCACCTCAACTCCTGACCTTTGCCACTGGAAGTCCCTTCCTGTACTCCTGGAAGTACTCCTTTTGGGAGGAGAGGGTTGCCATCTTGGAACCAGAAAAAAAACAAATTGTATGCTAAAAGTCAAACACCAATGATAGCATATTTTCATAGACTCATAGATTGAAGGACAGTGGCGATGCGTCTATCACACCATAAATTGAATGTGTGTGTTCAGGCTGGGTCTCCCATCAGCTGATGGGGCTCCTATCCATGAGGGTGCGCTATGCTTATGGTGCACCCCTGCATCTGGGAGCCTGGATCTAAACTATAGTAGACAAGTATTTGTCAAACGGTGCTTAAAAATGTCTAATGTTGGAAATTCTGTTACCTCTCTAGGTAACCTGCTCCAGTGCTTAACCACCCTCATAAGTAGAAATTTCTTTTACTATCTACCCTAAATCTCTGTTTCAGTTTAAGCCCATTACTTCTTTTCTTGTCCCCCCTACACACATAATTACCATCCTCTTCATAACAACTTTCCTTCTGTGCACCCCACTTCAGGAGGGATGTGGACAACATTGAAAGGGTCCAGAGGAGGGCCACCCACATGATCCGGGGACAACAGGGCAGACCCTACAATGAGAGACTGCGGGACCTGAACCTGTTCAGCCTTCACAAGAGAAGGCTGAGGGGGACCTGGTGACAGTCTATAAACTCACTACGGGGGACCAAAAGGTTTTGGGAGAGACCTTGTTTCCCCTAGCGCCCCCTGGCATAACAAGGAATAACGGCCATAAGTTGTTGGAGAGTAGGTTTAGATTAGACATCCGTAAAAACTACTTCACAGTCAGGGCGGCTGGATCTGGAACCAACTTCCAAGGGAAGTGGTTCTGGCTCCTACCCTGGGGGTCTTTAAGAGGAGGCTTGATGCCTACCTGGCTGGAATCATTAGAGCCAATTTTTTCTCCTGCCCAGGCAGGGGGTCAGACTTGAAGATCTGCAAGGTCCCTTCTGACCCTACTTCTATGATTCTGTGATTCTATTTGACATTTATTAAATAACCCTTCTAGACCTCTGATTGGACCTTTTTTCCAGTTTATTCACATCTTTCTTGAAGTCCAGTGCTTGATATTGGAAATGGTGTTTCAGTTGAGGTCTCATCATTCCTGAGAAGAATGGAAGAATTCCTTTCTATGACTTATATAACACTCCAGCATGATAATAACTTCTTTGCCACAGTATTACATTGTTGGCTCACAAACAGAAGTTGTCCTTGGAGCAGGAACAGGTGTTCTGGGATGCCTCCAGGCACAGCTGATCCACTTCATTGTCATCCAGAGATGTTGCTGGGGCTGCCACTTTTGGGGCTTCAAGGGACTGATCCTGCAGGACAGTGGCCCTGGATGCTGTGCCTTGGGTCAGGGTGTGGCAGCCTGTAAATTCACACCCCAAGTTTGGACATGGCAGCAGGATTCCCTGCAGGGAAATCCTGTGGCACAAATCTGCAAGTGGGAGAACCCCTATGCATGGCACCCTGATGCACATGCTTGAGGGAAACCAGGGCTGCACAATAAGCAAACTGATGTCCTCCCATTTAAGGCATCACAAACTATGACTACCTTTGCTCATGGCAACAATATTTAGGCACTGACAGCATGACAAGGAGCTAGGACATGTTTGCTTGCAACTTGTGCCTCCATAAAAAAAAATGTTCTGGTGGCTGAAGGGCAGCATCTGTTTGCACTCATCTTAAGCTTGCTGTCCATTATAAACCCCTACGGCCTTTCCTGCAGTCCTGCCACACACTGCAGGGAGAACTTCTGGAGCTATAAGATCTCAGAAAGGAACAACTTCTCTGAAATCCTAGAAAGTAAAAACACTCCACCATTTTTGGAGAGTATGCAGTGTCAACCTGCTCCAAATGTGTCCCCAAGGTCTGGCATAACGTGATTCCAATGGAGAGAACTATTTGTTCAGCTACTGATGAGAACTCCAGGATATCCAGTCTACAGCATTCCTAAGACACAACTAGAAAGTGTAAGGATGGAGCTGCTCACATTCTTTCCCGTTCTCTCTCTGTCAATTTATGTTTTGGAGAAAAGCATATGGTTTAGATGGCTGTACCTCTGCATTACAACCCCTTTGTAATGTGTGTATGTGTTACATACTTGGAACAGAAGTCTTATAATAGTCTTGTGAAAGAAGGGGGCAAAAGATAGTTCATCATAGAATAATACCACATTTAGCAAAGACTATTCAAATATACTGTGTATTTTAATTGTGAACAGTCATCAAAATCTCTGAATTTTCCTATTAATGCTAAAGTGAACAACGAGTATCCTTTCGTTCTTCTTTATGCCACTTCCTGATAAAGTGAAGACCTTTATTATTTAACGTTCATTGTTATTTTTTAAAATGCAAATTTTAATTATTTTAAATTATGAGTAACACTTTCAAGGGCCCCATTATTAGGTAGGCTTTGGACTCATAAGTTTTTTGTCCTTCAAAAATGGGTCATACACACTAAATCCTTTAGTTTTTTGAAGCTTTAGCTTTAAGTGAATATAGATTGTTTTTACTATGCACTGGAGGTTTCTTTAAACATTATTGCCTGTATTATCTACAGAATTGTTCTCCTAGGGTGAATCTATATGAGATGCTTTACTGTGCATAAACTAATGAGTAGTAAAGCATCACCGTCTACACATGTGCAGCAATTACTGTGCAGTAGATTAGTCTACTGTACTGGGCAACTGTCTCCAAGCCACGTAGTGATCAGGACCCATACTGATCTCCAGAGGACAGCTCTTCTTGTCCAGGAGATTGAGATAGTCCCGATCTCCACGTGACTGGCAGGTAGCTGCCCTGCAACTGGGACAGCTCTCCCCCACCCCACAGACATCAGGACCAGCCCCTGTGCCCAGGGCCAGATTAACCCTTTAGTGGGCCCTAGGCAAACAAATTCATGGGTCCTGGGCTGGTTGAGACCCTC